GGAAAACCAGTGACTCCAGCCGTTGCAGGACCGCCTCTGCTATGAGTCCGAAAATGGGCGAACTCATAGGCGTGCCCTTCACCTGCTCGAGAAGCCACAGTCAGACGTCACTACAGTCTGAGGCTTCGCCCCGAGAGCGGGACAGAGTTACACCCTCAGGTGGCAGCCTTCCAGCCCCGACTTTTAGCACGTCGTGCTAGCTTCAAAGCCTCGCGTCAGATTTTTTCATGGTGAAGAGTGGACTGGAGCACTGTAGCCAACATCATTCTCTCGTTGCAGTACACCGTCCGAGCCTGTCAGCGCAGTCAGGTTAAAGCATACCATGCTCTAATCTGTTCCCCGTGTTGAGGCTACAAAAAGGCATAAGGGGGAGTTACGGTTACACGATACACTACATTGCTGACACAGGTACTGACTAGAAGGCCAGACACGCGTGCTTTGTCGATATTCTGCTGTTGCATGGCACAGCTGCGAGGGATTCGACTCGCCAGCGGGTCTCCCAGTATTCGCTTTGTAGTATTCCAATTGTAGCTTCCTCATTTCCTCAGAAATGGCTCTTGAACTTGGAATAAATCAGCATATTCGAGGGTCTACAGGAGCAGACTGAAAGTTGATAGGAATATTCGAGCCGAAGTTCAACAGTCCCTGCGAGATAACCGCGTAATGTTCACAAGCTGCCAACAGACAGTCAGCAGTCAGGGATTGCATGATACACCCTACCGGCAGCACAAGGCAGTTTAATGCATATTACGCGGCTATCCACTCCGCAGTGAATGATAGGCTTGAACCCAAATATTCATATCAACTTTCGCTTTGTGCCTATAGACCCTAGAATATACGGAGTTACCTGAAGTTAGAGATTAGTTTCTGAGTAAATTCAGAAAACCTACCAACGGAAAGTTCTTTTGTTCTAGCTTTCAAGAATATCGTCAGACATTGTACTTTAATCGTCCTGTGTGATCAACAGCCTTCTGGTATTTTTTATTTACTGAAAGCTTCGTTTGTCAATTTCTGCTAGTATTTACTCGTTCTTATTTTTCGTTTTCAAAAAAGAATAAGTGCGAAGCAGCAGGAGATGAAAACGGAAAATCTGACGAAACGGGTCGACAGAACAGGGCACTGGACCTTCGAGTACGTGATTATATCACATTTAGCTAATAGCCACTTCTTTTAAATCAGACCGGTGTGGCTACGAAACGGGAGTTTCCTCAAGACGAGGATGACGGTGAACAGTACTGTTCTAAAAACAAGGTCATCAAGAAGAGGCCAACCGACCAGGAGCTTGCACTAAATGTAAGTTTTTTTTTGATTTCTGAGTGAGGATTATATTGCAGGTTCCTCCCTCACCCGTCACTCAAAAAAATTTTTAACAGAGATAACAGTTGGGCATTTCTGTACAGCAAGGTTTTCGAACGGCTGTTGTATCTTGTACGATTTGGATGACAGTTATATTTATGGTCCACAACAGCTTATTTTTCACATAACTGCTAAATACAGTTTCCCGCATAACTTTCTACTTATTCCGTAGCAGTAGGTATGTTTTGTTTGACTAGCTTTGAATAGGCTGTTTCCCATGTATGAAGCAATCGATTTAGGGTTTATACAGATTTGATTAAGAGTTTATAGAGTCAAATATTGTATCCAGTCGGGTTCTGTTCGACCTATCTTTCCCATTGGTTGTACTTCCCATTTTAATTATCGCACGCAACTTTTTGGTTATTTAAACAATGGTTTCTATTATTTTCTACATACATACGCACCACTTTTTAAATTATTTTTTCTTCCGCTTATATGCCCCACCCATTTAACCCCTATAAACACCGGTTCCGCATTACAGATGGATGGAGTTTTCGGTTGCTGTACTGAACTCTAAATGTAACCTTTACCAGATTTTCAGTGGGATCGGGTCTTGTTTGATTTTTTGATATTCCGCCTTTTCTCACATCCCATTCCCTCCGGTTCTCAGCTCTTCATCAAGCAACTGGCCGTCGAACTACTCGATCGCCGTCTGACAATTGTACAGCAACCCCGACACCGACTGGCCCAATTGGAGGCCGCCTGCCAGCGACAATTTCCCGATTTCAATGAGCGTCAAATTCGACTCAAAGTTCGGGGTCAGTTGAAGCTCTACCGGCGTAATCTGAAGAAGGCGGAGGAACGAATGGCTGCTGGTCCCAAACCCTCCACTTCCTCTTCCTTCCCCACCAACGGGCCGGTCTTTTCCGGCCAAAACTCAAACACCTGCCTCATTGTTCCCACCAGCAACTCCATCACCACCATCGGAACCACGCTTACCGCAGATCTTAGACCCAGCCCCTTCTATGCGGTAGCTGCGGACGGTATCCACACACTCCTGCCATCTTCAGAAACCTACTCAACCTGCAATCCTTCGGTTGTACGGCTAGCCCAGACGGCTCTGCTCAATGAGCAACGTCGAAAAGGCCAGATCTGTCATGAGTTACCATCGCAGAGCTCTGTTGGCGGCGGCGGTGGTGCCAGTTG